ATTTAGGCTTGGTGAGCAGCACATGGTATTACTGGATTGTGTATACACTGCAGAAAAGTTAGCATACAGTGGAAATATAAAATTATTTAACTATATATTCATATTTGCATTTTAAATTTTTATATGCTTAGTTCAATAAAACCCTATTTTATTCTCCCAATATTTTAACAGTTAATTGGTTTTATCCTCATTTTTATAATGCTGTATTGGATGCAGTGTGCTGTAGTTGTTATTATTGCTTTGTTTTTTGGTTTTTCTGTTTTTTGTAAGCCCTCCAGAGACTTTTAGTATTGGGATGGCATATAAATTTTTATAAATGAATGAATGAATGGTAGTGGTTCCAATTATTTCAAACAACGTCCTATCAGATATGAACTTTTTCAAGCTTTAAAATGCAGCTGCTGCAGTCCCACTGAAAAACAAATTAACAAACAAAAAAGCCAAAACAAAAACAAAAAAAATGTTAATTAGTATCTCTAAGTAACAGGAGCTTCTCTGTAACAGTTCCAGAATTCTAGAATGGAGCTTTCCAACAAATGGAAAGTTTGTCTTTCTCCTGTCATATTTCCAGAGTCAGTTTAAGACATTTTATTTCATGATGCCTTTGAAAGCTGTATCCTTTTAGATGTTTTTGCTCCTATGCTACTTAACTTATCAAGTTATTATTTGGTTTTTTTACCCTGGTTTTTTTTTTTTTTACCTTGGTTGTGATATTTGCTTTTTTATCATGGCTGTAACCACTTTGAAAGACTGCTGAAAAGCATATCAGGAATGCAAAAATAAAAGGGGAAAATTCTCCAAAATAAAGATATTCATTAAACAAAAGTCAAATGGTAAAAGCAAATATGTTCATGAAGTTTCAAGACTATTTGATCCTACTGTGATAGAGGCTCAAATAACCAAAAAGTACATAGGGCTGCCAACATGATTAAGTAGCAAAGTTACACAAAATGCAAACACAAGGTTTCTTTAAAACACAACCAAAACAGAACTCTTACTCAAAAGCTCATATGAACATTTCAAGAATTCAGAGCAGCACACATATATTAAATTAGGAATGAAAATCCAAGCAAGGAGGTGAAGGAGGAGTAATTTACTGGGAGGAGTAATTTACTGGGAGAATCCAGTAAATATGCTTCCTGAAGGTCAAATACTGGTATATTGGTTTTTATGCTCTTGGCTTTACTGTATTAATTCTGTAATGGTAATAATATGTCATTTTGGGAGGACTGAATGGAACAATATAATTTTTTTAAATCAAATAAATAAATAACAAATACATAACATCTGGCAAAATGTAAAGCTACAAAGAGACAACTCAGGAAGGAATTTCAGGAGCAAGTAATTATTATGGCTCTGTATAGACAAGCTAGTAATAAAAACCTTACCTCAATACATCTGTGACAAGAAATTCAAACTTTATCATGAGCTGATGATATTGGTTGAAGTTTTGAATCTGTAACCCTACAGATACCATTGCTCTATCATCCTTAACCATGTTGCTGAGGCTGATGGGAATTGTATTTCAGCAATCTGGAGAGCTGCAAATTCCACATCCATGATGTAAGTAGGCATGGAGCTTTGAAGATGGAAGATCGAAAAAAATAGTCTCCAATATGAAATATGTTGGACAGATGCTCTAAGAAGTCCATCTGAAGAAATACATCCATTTCGTAAGCAGTGTTTATCACTGTTTTGATTCTTGATTGGTTTCATCTGCTCTTTTTTTCTTATAAATTTTAACCTATTCTATTTGTATTCTTATTGTTAGCTGTCTTAGTTGCTAAATAGAGAAAACTAGGATATACTGAATTTTTTTAAAGTATGGAACCACTGAGATCTGATGGCACTTATCCCAGAGCTCTTAATGTACTCAAACAGTACTTCAGATGTAAATTTGTTGGTTTTATGTTTTTTTACTAAAATTTGCAACTTTGTTTAAACCAGTTTGCTCTCCATAAGGTTGAAAAAATTGCTAATGTATTACTCAGTTTCTAAGGAACTACAGAACAAGGAAATTACAAAAATGTCAGCGTAACATCTGTCCCAGGCAACTTGCTGAAAATCATTGTAATGGCTAAACTTACAAAAATATAGGACAATTATTGCTTAGAGACAAAAAAATGCCCTTTCCAAAGAGAAATCTTACATTACCAAAATGGGGTTTCTGGTAGCATTAAAGCCAGGATTCAAAGAAATGCTCAAGCAGTTCTATGGATCTATGGGCTTGCTTTAGAGTTGCATGTTTTAGACATCAGTTCTCATTCCTGCACCTAGAACACATTACAAGTCAAGTGTACTTTCAAAAACAGTTTCTGATGTGACCTATCTGTTGTCCAAAGGGAAAAAAAATACAAAAGCCCCTACTAAGCATCCTGAAATCCCGAGTGCTGAACCCGGTTTAATTTGAGGTTTACAATTTAAAAATAAACAAATGATAACTATGCACTGAAAACTAACCCATCTATAATAAAGCAGTCCTAAAACTACCAGATAAAATCTTCTTTTAAAAAGTAGTATGGTTATTAAAAACAACACAGATTAGTCAACAGCGGAAAGTTCTCAAAAATCCAGGTTTGCACTTAGCATCAAAATTGTGTGTGCCTAACAACACTCACAAGCAGGTCTTCCATAATATACCTGACACTACTGAGAAAGTCCAGCTCTGTGCTCTTGCAATCCTTGTTGTTGTTGTTAGTCGCAAAGTCATGTCCATCACGACCCCATGGACAACATTCCTCCAGGCCTTCCTGTCCTCCACCATCCCCCAGAGTCCACTTAAGCTCACACCAACTGCTTCAGTGACTCCATCTAGCCACCTCATCCTCTGCTGTCCTCTTCTTCTTTTGCCATCGATTGTTCCCAGCATTAGGCTCCAGGGAGTCCTTCCTTCTTATTAGGTGGCCAAAGTATTTGAGTTCCATCTTCAGTATCT